CTCCCCTCCAATTCACCTCCTCTCCCTTCCCTCAATCTCTCTCCCCTCCAATTCACCTCCTCTCCCTTCCCTCAATCTCTCTCCCCTCCAATTCACCTCCTCTCCCTTCCCTCAATCTCTCTCCCCTCCAATTCACCTCCTCTCCCTTCCCTCAATCTCTCTCCCCTCCAATTCACCTCCTCTCCCTTCCCTCAATCTCCCTCCCCTCCAATTCACCTCCTCTCCCTTCCCTCAATCTCTCTCCCCTCCAATTCACCTCCTCTCCCTTCCCTCAATCTCTCTCCCCTCCAATTCACCTCCTCTCCCTTCCCTCAATCTCCCTCCCCTCCAATTCACCTCCTCTCCCTTCCCTCAATCTCTCTCTCCTCTAATTCACCTCCTCTCCCTTCCCTCAATCTCTCTCCCCTCCAATTCACATCCTCTCCCTTCCCTCAATCTCACTCCCTTCCATTTCAACCTCCTTCTTCCCCTTGCTATTTTCCCATACTTATCTTCATGTCTCCACTTTCTCTCCCCATCCATCCCCCATATCCCTCTCTCCCCTCCCCACTCCCAAACTTCACGTTAGAACGTTCTCAATTTGTAAGTGTGCTATACGACCACGCTGTTTACAAACAACATTGACATCGAACATTACACTTCAAATGACGTCACCATTCAAATAGGACGCTGTGTCATGTTCTTGTGAATGTTTTGCAGCTAACACATTGACAGGCGCGGCAGGCACATGGATTGTGAGTCAGAAATTTGATAAATATTTCAAAATAAGAGCTGTGAGATCGAAAAGTATCGGTCTCAAGAGGTCCTAGGGGACCTTGTAATTCCCGGCATGTGTGGTTTTTGTTTGAGGGGATGTTGTCATTTATTCACAATTATTGGAAATTAAGAAGATTCTCTTTTTAAAAGGGGGGATTTAGCAAAAACACATACATGAACGTAAGCAGTAAAACAAAATGTAAAATAACACACAAACCTAGTCATTATGTCATTATAGAATGGCCTAACGCATGTACAGTTAGTTTACCTTGTCCATTTCTATTTTCTAAATACTGTCTCTCAGTCATAATTCAACCATAACAGTTTATCATGTTTCATTTACATATACATGTCGTTAAACATTGTGCCTGATGATATTTTTGTATTATATAAAAAAAAATCAAAAAAATCAATGTTTCCAATGTTACCTAACTATGAAGCAAGCAAGCGAAAACATAATACTTCCCTACACGGCCCCTATAATATTGTTACAGTAGATGGCAGTAGTGGTGACGTTAGGAACGAGAGCGACAGAGTAGAATTAGGTGCGAGTACCATCGCGTAGATACAAACACGATCGATAGAAAACGATCAGCTGATTAGATTTAGCCTGTGTAGTGCGAATATTGTGTCGCCATTGAAAGTTTAGCTACGCTTACAAAGTAACATGTAATCTGTGACACGGGGGATGAAGGGTATCAAAACAGACATTGTTTCTACGATGCAAAAGTTGTTGATTATTGACAATAATAAAAACTCTCAGCGTTAAATAATACATGACGCATATATGTGTCATTAGTTTTGAATCCAGCGTTGATTTATGTTCGGATTAAGCTGTCCTTAAAAGTTGTAGAGAACATAATTTTACACTGCCATTTGAAATGAAGATCGTATCAGCCAGGGACTGAAAATAGGGAAAATATAGATTGTTACTTCTTTAAGTTTAGGAAATTATGAAGGTACACACATCTTGTCTGGTAATATACTATCAATACAGAATTATCAGGCAGTTGAGGTGATTAAAATATTTATAGTAATTTAACTGGGTTATGACATCATCTTTTGTTCTCATTGTACATTATATAGTAAAATGTCCAATAAAGTACCTGTAGCTGTCTATTATAAAGCCGAAGCTGTCCAATATTGTGTTTAATAATTCTAAGCACCAGCAAATTTTAGAAAAAAATCCACAATTTATTAATAACATATGACTTAACTATATATATGTACATATAAATATGATAAAAATTAACCATAAAATATAATCCATTTAAAAACCACAGATAGTTGTATTTGATCCAGAAGTAATCCAGCTGCCCTTATCACTGTTGAATTTTATTGAAGAGAAAAATCTTTGAGAATTAATTAATCCAACAGAATGCTGTAAAACTTACAGGGAATACAGTAATCCAATAATTATTTCAAAATATGAAAATTGATGGAGCAGCAAAACACATATCTTGATTCGGGAATAATCTTACAGATATTCACACACAATGATCCATACTTGGAGGTAGAATTGATCCAATAGATATTTCCTGACATAATTTAACTGCCACCAGTATTGGTTTAGGTGATTTTTGAGGTTTGAATTGATTTTCCCTCTGCTTATTGTCGTCTCCTGAGAATCCCATGTTCTCACTTCAAATGACCAAGCTGGACTGACTGGTAAAACACAGGTTTCACTCTATCAGTATTTGGACATGAAAAACATGTGCATTTCTAAGAATAAAACCCCTACCTCTACCTGTCCAGTAGGTTAACAATATGCCGGTACATTGTTCAGTAGCTGTCCATTCTTAACACAAAAAGGTATCCACTATTCATACAAAGTAGGCTGTGTTTTAAGTAGGTGAAAAGCCTCAAACTGTCCATGTTGCGCCCTACGCCCAACAGGGCCTCAAACTGTCCATGTTCCGCCCTACGCCCTACAGGGCCCCAAACTGTCCATGTACGCCCTACGCCCTACAGGGCCCCAAACTGTCCATGTACGCCCTACGCCCTACAGGGCCCCAAACTGTCCATGTTCCGCCCTACGCCCTGCAGGGCCTCAAACTGTCCATGTTCCGCCCTACGCCCTGCAGGGCCTCAAACTGTCCATGTTCCGCCCTACGCCCTACAGGGCCCCAAACTGCCCAGGTTGTGCCCTACGCCCTACAGGGCCTCAAGCTGTCCATGTTACACCCTACGCCCTACAGGGCCTCAAAATGTCCATGTTACGCCCTACGCCCAACAGGGCCTCAACCTGTCCATCTTACGCCCTACGCCCTACAGGGCCCCAAACTGTCCATGTACGCCCTACGCCCTACAGGGCCGCAAACTGTCCATGTTACGCCCTACCCCCTACAGGGCCTCAAACTGTCCCTGTTACGCCCTACGCCCTACAGGGCCCCAAACTGTCCATGTACGCCCTACGCCCTACAGGGCCCCAAACTGTCCATGTTACGCCCTACCCCCTACAGGGCCTCAAACTGTCCATGTTGCGCCCTACCCCCAACAGTGCCTCAAACTGTCCATGTTACGCCCTACGCCCTACAGTGCCTCAAACTGTCCATGTTGCGCCCTACGCCCAAGAGGGCCTCAAACTGTCCATGTTACGCCCTACACCCTACAGGGCCTCAAACTGTCCATGTGACGCCCTACGCCCTACAGGGCCTCAACTGTCCATGTTACTCCCTACGCCCTACAGGGCCTCAAACTGGCCATGTTACACCCTACGCCCTACAGGGCCTCAAACTGTCAATGTTACGCCCTACGCCCTACAGTGCCTCAAACTGGCCATGTTACGCCCTACGCCCTACAGTGCCTCAAACTGGCCATGTTACGCCCTACGCCCACCAGGGCCTCAAACTGTCCATGTTGCGCCCTACGCCCAAGAGGGCCTCAAACTGTCCATGTTACGCCATACGACCTACATGGCCTCAAACTTTACATGTGACGCCCTACGCCCTACAGGGCCTCAAAATGTCCATGTTACGCCCTACGCCCAACAGGGCCTCAAACTGTCCATGTTCCGCCCTACGCCCTACAGGGCCCCAAACTGTCCATGTTCCGCCCTACGCCCTACAGGGCCCCAAACTGCCCAGGTTGTGCCCTACGCCCTACAGGGCCTCAAGCTGTCCATGTTACGCCCTACGCCCTACAGGGCCTCGATCAGATCATTCTCTCACAGATCTGGAGTGGTCAGTTTTTTGCTGTGGATAGCGCACTCGCCTTTCACCAAGATGGCCGAATTCAACGCTGCACTCATAGGATTTATAGGAATCACGGAATCAAAACATCAAACGGAACAAAACTTGAAAAACAGTGTTCACTACCTTAAGTATATCTGTCCTTAAAGAAAAAAAACAACAACATGTTAGCAAGTTTTCTAAACATTTGTCTAATAATGGAAGCATCAGATTTCAAAGGGGAAAATATCACAAGAAGTGTCCGCCGTTGTTTGGTCTATTAAACACGGTATAAAAGAAATAAACACATTAACCAATTCGCAGTTCTGCATGCTAACAATTACCATATCATCGACGTATTATGGTTCATTTGGAAGGTAGGGTATAAGGGGGTACCGCTCCCGAAATAAAGGGCGTTCTGGATCCTTCATTACCGTGTGTGCCCACCCTCGAGATGTTTTGTTTGCATGAACACATTTGTGAATTGAATTCGTCAGGACATTGACCTTCCTCATGAGTACATGGTAAATTCATAATACAGCGCTAACGCTAACTGAGCGACATTGATCGGTAGATTCGCCAAACGTCTCACCTTCCTGTAGAATTAGTAACACACATGTTCTGTCAGGGAGAGTTTATAACTGTATGGGGGTAGGGGCAGTCTATGGTGGGGACATTGTTTACTGCTAAGTAACACACATGTTCTGTCAGGGAGAGTATATAACTGTATGGGGGTAGGGGCAGTCTAGGGTGGGGACATTGTTTACTGCTAAGTAACACACATGTCTGTCAGGGAGAGTTTATAACTGTATGGGGGTTGGGGCAGTCTAGGGTGGGGACATTGTTTACTTCATATCTTCGTTATATGCTGTCACATGTTGTCCTGCTGGAAAATCAGCCAAGACTGCTTTACCTATAAATATATATTTCCATTGTTTAAAAGCTTGAAAAGTTAACAAAGCTTTATATTATTTTCAAAAATCTTTAAACCACAGGAGAAGATATAGTCAAAATTTACATCATGCGAACAGGAAGTACCAAGGGCAATGGAGAAGCGCTCAATGATAGGACAAAGAATCAGACCTAAGAGCTGATTGAAGAGAAAAAACACAGCGGTTTTTATCATACCTTCAAGAAAACGACGAATATGTGGAAAATAACAGGTCGCCGGCAATTGAACAGTGCATCAAAGTTTTGCATAAAGGACAGCTGAATTCGGTCAATTAAAGAATTTGGACTATTATTGGTGCAGACGCACGAGAAAAAGATTCGTAAATGCTGACATGGAAATAGAGATGTGCAAAGACCAGCACAGACTAACTGCACTCGAGGGGAAACGGAGAAAAGTTTCTTTCAAAAAAAAGTGAACGATGCATTGCAAGGAGTACAGCATAATTTAGATAAAACGAGAGGACCGGGATTATTCAACAGAGCGACGAAACGGAAAGACGACTCAATCGTGGGACGTTTTTGAAATAAATGGAAACTAACAAAGAAAACATTGCAAGGGTTATGGACTTGGCAAAAGGTCTTAAAATGAAGTGGAAAGACCTAAATAAGGCAGTCACAAGTAATATTCAAGAAGCAAACAGCTCAACTTAGAACATAAAGAAGAGATTCGGGAGGAAACCCAGCAATGAATAGTCGGTGGACTGGCAAAACGTTGCACGCGGTCTACCGTGAATAACACAAATTAAGATGTTTCGGTAAATTGTGACGCGCTTTATTTTTAATTCTTTTGACCTTTGTGCCACTGATGAACGAAATGACAACATGGTGCAGCTACTATCCTTTATGTCTGACTTACCAAATTAAATCTGTAAACAGGTATTGACCTAGTTCATATTCCATTGGATTATATAACTTTTTTCATATAAAAATCGAAATAAGAAGGAAATCACAACAGCGAATAAAGAAGAAAACTAATATACTGGAAGACTACTTTCGAATGGTATTTAGGTGGGGACTTTATTACTGTAGGGGAACGACACAGTAGTCCCGAGGTTTGCATATATTTTTGATTTTATAGGAATATGACCTGTGCTATTTAAGGATTGAAATCATTGATGATCGTTTGCAACACATGCTAACTTCTTCCTAACATGTTCTATGATGCACGTTGTAGACAGGACCCGCTTACCAAAACATGAGACACTCTAGAATTGGAGCAACACGATGTACGTCTATGTCACACCTAACCTGTCCAAGATATTTCAACGATTTTATCGTCTTCGCCATCTTTGTTTACCTAAGCCTACACAATCTCTTGGTTTCTCACGTTAGCGATTATAGCGCGACCTAGCGACTACTAATACACCCTCTCTAGCTAAAAATAGAATTCATGTTAGCTTTTATATACGGTCGATTGACAGCCGCGCGGCGATCGATCTCGCTCACATGTTACACTGAGTGTACACTGTAAGACATATATATCGTGTTGTGTTTCGATATTACCCACTAAACAAACATCGAAGAAGATATATCGCTAATACTTTAATGACTGAGTCATGCTTATCACGGGACTGATATCAGAATATGGAAGCGGCATGCTTCTGAACCGACTGGGATTCATTAAAACTTTGGTTAGCCATACACAACCTCAGTGCAATTTCTTCTATATTATCTTAATAAAAATAATCCAAATACGGATATATATTTTTCTGCCACAAAGGCATTGACTGATATTTATTTTCAATCCATCTACACAATAATACTCATAACGTACACAGAATAATTCAACTTTTATAATTTTAATGTTTTAAAAAATACGTAAAAGCTTTCTTGTTACCTGTATAGCATGAACGATGTATTCAAATTATTGCATGCGTAAATCACAGCCATTAGCGCTACCTATTTGTATAAACAAATCAAAGAGAAAAAAGTCACATCCTTATTCCTATGTACCACCAGCGGTGTTACTTTTATATTGGATAAGGCATTTATTTCTGATATCTTTACTTCAACATAATAGGATTCTCGGCATTTAAAAGAATTACTATAGTGAAAATTCCGATAAAATAGGTCTTGCTGTTATTGTTTTATTTTTACTTTTCTGCTGCAAGTCCCCACATAAACACTACCACTAAGCAAGTGCGTGCATATGGCTATGAAAGCAATCATATCAATATCATTTTGACGCTTCTCATCCTCCGTCATATAACGTGAAGCTATCATAAGAATCAACCAATTAGCATTGCAATTAGCTTTGACGGAAAAACTCAGTAAAGTTCAGGATTTTGATATGTCTACACAACTTGGAGTAGACGCGTTATATGAACAACTATCGTTATGTATGTTGCTTTCGTCAGATGAAGCAATTCCAAATCGTCAACTCAAACAGTATCTAAAGCCGTACTGGACATCGGATACTGAAAATGCGCATAATGTAGCTCTTTATAAAGACAATTGTGGATAAATGAAAATAGACCGCGAGGGATGCAAAATAAAACATATAAAGACTACAAGGAGGCAAAAAACATATTCCGGAATATGCATCAAAAAGCACATAGTACATACATAGACAATGTTAACAACGAGCTCGATAATACTGCTGAATGTTCTGGCGGCTAATACGGAAACGAAAGAACCCATCTCCAGACATATGTACAGCATTTACTCATGGAGGTAATGTATGTAGGGGTCCTATTGGAATTGTAGACATTTTCGCAGACCTCTTTGAAAAACTTTACGTGGATAATTCAAAAGGAAAGACGGATTTTAACCCACCATGTAGATACGGCGATGAATTAAACTCACCATTTACGTTTGACGAGATCAATGTCTGTATACGGCAGTTGAAATTGACAATATTACAAATGAACACATCAGATATGGCGGGAAACTGCTATTAGATAAAAAATAAGTGAACTGTTCAACTACATTCGAATATTTGGGAAAATACCAAAAACGTGGAAAATGGGAGTTATAGTTCCGATATATAAGGGTGGACATAAAAAGAAGTGTGACCCCAATAATTACCGCCCAATTTCGTTACTTCCTGCATTATATAAATTGATGGAAACAGTTTTTCGTAATCGTATTATTCGCTAGGTGGAAACAGAGAATATCGAATTCCATAGCAAACAGCAACAAGGATTTTAGAAAGGAAAGAGCTGCATGACAGCATTATTTAACCTTCAGGAATGTATAAAAGAAAACTTGGAACAGAATAGTAATGTCTATGTCGCGTTCGTAGATACATACAAAGCTTTCGATACCGTGCAACATAAAGGCCTATTTCACAAGTTGTATGAGCTTGGAATAACCGGAAGTCTGTTCAAAATGTTGCGTAACTCATATCAAGGAATTGTCAGTGCTGTCGTCCATAATAATGTTCAATCACGGTGGTTCAGTGGGAATAGGTCAGTACGGCAAGGGGGGGGGGGGGGGGGGGGGGGGGGGGGGGGTACTTACTGCACATAAATGATCTACTCAACCAATTGTGAACATCGAAAGCTGGCGCGAGAATCTTATCAATTAACTGTGCTAACCCATGTCTTGCTGACGATATCGCACTCATTAGTACTAGTCCAAGAGCTCTTCAGTGTCTACTGAACATCGCAGGAGAATATGCTAAAATGTGGAATTTTACATTTAACTCTTCGAAATGCTCTATCATTTCGTTCAAAACGTGTGTCACTAACGTCCCGTGGACATTGAATGGGGATATCATCACTACTGTATACTCCGAAGTTCATCTAGGAATGGATGTATCATCTGACCTTAAGTGTTCAAATGCTGTAGAAAAAGCCTGTAGAAAAGGGAGAAATATGCTACATGCTATTTCTCGTATGGGATCTGTGCACACACAAAGCCGCTAACATATGTAAACATTTATAAGAAAGTAAAACTACCAACTGTATTGTATTGGTCGGAAATGTGGAATAACCTAACGGCGAAAGACAAACAACAATTAGATGTATTCCGGCATTACACAGCAAAAACTATTCTGAATGTGAGGAAATCCTCGAGATCGGATATGTGTGAAACGATTCTAGGCATTAACAGAATTAATAGTGAAATTGAAAAAAGGAAACTAAACTTTCTACAGTGTCTAATTAGTAGCTCGCCAAATAGTACAACAAAGGATATCTTCATTCGTAGACTCTTGAAATTCTTAGAACTTGAGGAAAGGTCGAAGAAACAGGGTGGATTCGTGCCAGATATAATTGACATTCTTCAAAAATACAAATTAACACCGTATATATATCAATATGCCGAAGATGGAAACTTTCCAGCACGACGCGAGTGGAAATACATCGTGAAAGTAGCGATGGATATACGCAAAAACACACTACTGAAAGCAAGAATGAACAGTGATTGTGATTTTAGTCGTTTTAAAAATGTACATTTGAACCGTATAACTTCTTAAAGTTACAAAACACGGACGAGAAAGTAATATTATTTATTTGCAAGATGATAACCTGCCCACCATTAGAACATAGTAAAATATGTAGCAAGTGCGGGAACCCTTCCATGATGTAATCAGGCATTTCGTCACGGACTGTAATGTGACATTCATTTTAAGGGACACTTTCATGGACAAAGTAATAAACTACTATGGTGTTCAACCGTATCTGCTATTGTCTCAAATGGCAGAAGAGGAACGTGTAGTAGCTCTATTCAAAGGAACCATAGACAATCATGATTTTGATAACAAAACTCTGTGTGGTGAATTTGCGCAAGACAATCCTTATTTCCTTTGGAAAGCAGCACAGCTATCATAAGAATCATGAAAGGTGAAGTTCTGTTGTTTCAGGGATATCAGTTTCACCTGAATGACACAAATATTTGATGTTTTATTTATGATTCGTTAAATGAATAGAAATATTTAAAAAAAAGTAAACATTTACACCTGTCGATTTCTTGAGATATGGATGAAACAGAAATTCGCTCATGCGATGTGAATATTATAAACAATCTGCCCTTTTCCTACATGTATATACCAACATTTTGTTTGGCACCGATACACGTTGTATAATGGAAATACAAATATTGTCTGTATATTTATCGTTTAGGTTTGGGCAGTCTCGACCATCTGTGGAAGCTCACTTGTATTTATCTTTGTTTCAGGTTTGGGCAGTGTCAATCTTCTATGGAAACTGATCAGTAGTTCTTATCTTTGTTTCAGTTTTGGGCAGTGTCAATCTTCTATGGAAACTGATCAGTAGTTCTTATCGTTATTTCAGGTTTGGGCAGTGTCAATCTTCTATGGAAACTCAGTAGTACTTATCGTTATTTCAGGTTTAGATATGCGATCATTTATGGAAGCTCATGGGTATCTATCTTTGTTTCAGGTTTGGACAGTCTCGACCTTCTATGGAAGCTCATGTGTGCCTACATAGTATTGGGATTTATCGGGTTCTGCCTTATTTTCTTCTGCTTGGACAGAATTGGTGCCAAAGTGGATCCAGAGAAGACGAGCCTGAGCGTAAGTAATGCCTGTAAAACACATTCTATTCAAGGGAGATGATTCAAGATTTCATCCATTGTCAGTTTGCCTATATTTTACACAAAAAAAGATTTTTTACTAATGATTTTTATGTATATAATAATATTTTTATGTAATAATGACAAAAACGGTATGTAGTGATAATACAGGAGTCTAGTACTTAACTATGTACATAACGGAACAACAGCAGAAAGTTCATATCAGTCTAGTACATAAATTTCTAACTATAAAAGTACTGTTACAGCAGTAGTTATATTATTAAAGTCTAGTACTTAGATACAAAAATGTTGAAACAATAGTGACTATATCTAAGAGTATAGTATTTAACTATATAAGTGTTGCTACAATAGTGGATATATTATAAGAGTGTTCTATTTAACTATATAAGTGTTGCTACAATAGTGGATATATTATAAGAGTGTTCTATTTAACTATATAAATGTTGCTACAATAGTGGATATATTATTACAGTATAGGATTTAACTATATAAATGTTACTACAATAGTTGATATATTATCAGAGCATAGTATTTAACTATATAAATGTTACTACAATAGTGGATATATTATTACAGCATAGGATTTAACTATATAAATGTTACTACAATATTGGATATAATAAGGGTGTAGTATTTAAATATATCAGTGTTGCTTCAATAGTGGATATATTATAGATATTATGCGTTTGAGTGTAGCATCAGTAGAGATCAATCACATTCTTAAGCAAGGGGGATAGGAATGCTTGCAAACGTTACCACACATCGTTCAGAATATATATGTTACTATAATAATGGATATATTATTATATTATAGTATTTAACTATATAAATGTTACTACAATAGTGGATATATTATCAGAGTTTAGTATTTAACTATATGTGTTGCTTCAATAGTGGTTATATTATAGATATTATGCGTTTGAGTGTAGCATCACATTCCTAAGCAGGGGGATAGGAATGCTTGCAAACGTTACCACACATCGTTCTGAACTAGTAAAATCTCGTTGGTGACGATGTTGCATTTTTACTGTTTTTTCGGTGTTTTTTTGCTTACCTTTTCTTTGTATTATGGCCTCAAATAAACGGAGTCCTTGTTGTTGGTTCCTCGTAGTTGACGCTTGGTGAGACCCTATCAGCTCTCTTACGTCAGCTATATTTTATTTTATGTACTCTAAAGACTTACAGTAATGAACAATGATACATTTCCACTTGTCGGTTTGTCTAACTAAATATTACTGTAGTAATAAATTGTGCTTGGTAGGCTATTCGAAGCGGAGCAATTACCAAAACATTATATGCGAACGTCTGCATTGCCCTGTTTATAAACACTTAGACAATGTCCTTTAACATTTAACGACATGAGAATGTCCCCTGATAAAGGAGCAGGTTATGGGAGATAGTGATCACACTGTCCGACGTTTCCTCGGAATTAGTACGCATATTTTCCCCTTAAGTCATTGTTGATAATGCAATGAATTCGTCTGTTTAACCGCTCCATATACAAATAAACAAACGAAAGGAAATTCTTGCTAGTATGTATAGAATTACATGTATATTAATTTTGACAAGTTTGAACGGGCGCCATCCTTGTGTATATTGTCAAATTGTGTTTTCTGTTCATACAAATCGTATATTTTGCGTATACAAGTGATATTGTTTGCTTATAGCACACTTATATTTTTCACTGTTATGTCCGTGACAACATTATCTCATCAGTGAGTTTTGCCGGTAGGTCCCGTTTCTCGTTCATTCTCGTTATTAACAAGACTTTATGGACAAGAAGTAATTTCTGGATGTGTTCCTTCCTTTCCGTTTAGTTTTCGAGTTATCGAACAGTTTTAGCTGTATGCAAGGTCGACGTCTCCGTTTTGGTATAACATGGATTGATTTTCTTTTTATGGGATCAAAGTACTTGCGCAAATTAATCTGGCGGTCATGACTAGGGGTTTGTTGAATGTAAATAGGTTTTGTTCAGCGTAGAAATGATTAGGACGGCATGTAAACAGCGTATAACAAGTTTGTACACATCTTTGGTGATTAGACTGGAGAAAGTAGAGCCAGCACCGCGAGTCGCGGGTACGCTACGTCATTTAAACGTCATGGTTTCATAGTCTTATCATTTAAGAATAAATTTCTTCTATAACGCAAACAGGGAAATACAAATTTCCGCATTAATGTATGTAATAGGTTTGTTTTTGCCAAACAAGTTTATGCATGGTAAACAGATAACGCAAAACAGACTTTGTTTTCAATATAGCCCCACAACAATAACAATTTTAGAGTGTCCAGTTTCGTTTGTGATTCCCAATTGTAGATTTCCTATCTTTGCCATAACTACCGGTTACTTATTACAGACTGATGTTCGTTACTGATACAACAATTAACGACGGTTGAGCTTACTGTAGTTTTGAATTTTGTTAAATGGTTAGTTTGTTTATTTTTTATAACTGGGTCCCATCAAGTTTTTATTCACAAAACGCCAGTGGATGACCAACACAAACCAGCTATTTATCCGTAAAAAAAGTCAGGGTTTACTTGAACGTTTTTCTCAATTAATATTTGTTCGTGTCAACACATGGACACGTATGTATGTCCAAAAACATGCACGTTGCTTGTTCGTCCTAATCATTCTAGGTTCTTCCCAGTACATAAAGGCTTCCTCGCCTCATGTAAATTGTTGTTGGCACGAAAAGACTCCAATACATAGATGTTTATCCAAATACAAAAAGATTAAAGAGGTATGTCCCAGAATATGAGGCTCAATCCAGTACAAGAAGGCTCAGCCATGTACATGGTGTTTTGTCCTAGGACCTGAAGGTTGGTCACATATTTTAGATTGGTCTCTGTGCAATTATGTGTTTTTGTATCAATACATTGGGAAGAAATCCCAGTACAGGGAGTTTGTCCCTAGAGCTTGTTCTAGTTCAACGTGGTTCGTCTCAACAGTAGACATTCAGCCCAGCCAAAAAAATGAGGTTTGTCTGTAAAGCATGCCCCAGCTCCACCAGGATCGTCTCAACAGTAGACATTCAGCCCAGCCAATTGAGGTTTGTCTGTAAGGCATGCCCCAGCTCCACCAGGATCGTCTCAACAGTAGACATTCAGCCCAGCCGATTGAGGTTTGTCTGTAAGGCATGCCCCAGCTCCACCAGGATCGTCTCAACAGTAGACATTCAGCCCAGCCAATTGAGGTTTGTCTGTAAGGCATGCCCAAGCTCCACCAGGTTCGTATCAACAGTAGACATTCAGCCCAGCCAATTGAGGTTTGTCTGTAAGGCATGCCCAAGCTCCACCAGGTTCCTCTAAACAAAATAAATTCAGCCCAGCCAATTGAGGTTTGTCTGTAAGGCATGCCCAAGCTCCACCAGGTTCCTCTAAACAAAATAAATTCAGCCCAGCCAATTGAGGTTTGTCTGTAAGGCATGCCCCAGCTCCACCAGGTTCGTCTCAACAGTGGAAATTGAGCCCAGCCAATTGAGGTTTGTCTGTAAGGCATGCCCCAGCTCCACCAGGTTCGTATCAACAGTAGAAATTGAGCCCAGCCAATTGAGGTTTGTCTGTAAGGCATGCCCTAGCTCCACCAGGTTCGTTTCAATACACGAAGCCTTGTTCCTGTACATGCAAAACTTATTTGTAAAAGTACATGGAATTCTTTCCGGCAGCTGATGGCTTGTCCCAGGCTTCTTCCAAATCAAAGAAGCTTTGTCTATGTACATGACTGTTTGTTTGTCAAGTACATGGAGCTTCTGCCGGCAGGTTAAAAGTTGACCCAATTCAATAAAAGAATTATTAATACAAGAAGCTTCGTCTATGTACATGAAGGTTTGTTTGTTTTAGGTTTATATCAATATTTTAAGTGGTTTCTTCCATTCGTTTACATATACAAGGCCGGTGACGTCGATGAAGCAGAATACGTGTACCCTTCCGGAACACTTGGTCTTATTATTTTTGTCCTTTTTCAATAGTCTTCATGTAACTCTCTCCTTTGTTCATTTTTTGCCCAAGTTGTACCCATTTTGAGTTCGAATGATTGTTTTGGTGACACTTCGGTATTCTCTGTTATTTATACATTTCACTCTGGTTAATTCTGCGTAGATTAATCCATCGATCTTTAGAGTCTTCCACGAATGCGTTAGTGGATAGTAAACTTTTAGTTTCAGACTAATTTTACGATTTGTCTTATCCCAAGTAGAATCAATATATTACATGAAAGAGTAGTGCATCCTGGGATTTTTAAGAGGTTGTGGACATGTTTCCACTGCTAGCAAAAACAATCATCCTTTCCTGGACCGCCCTTCTATGATGATTACGTATCGCACTTCCGGAAACAAAACAGGTATTATGTATTTAATAGGCTATGAGCTCACAGAAATCTCAGATAAAAAAACAAATCGGACAACGTCCCTCTATACATTTTTGTTTGAGCTATTATGGAAACAACGTGATCGATTTGTTCAAATTTGTTTTAACATTTACAAGTATCTTTAAATATGTAATTTCATGTGTTTTACAGCAGAATGAGATATAAGTCTATAGATAAACCAAAATAATTCATTTTTGCAATTTTGATGTAAATAACTCGTAAATGAAATAAAACATGCGCAATTTTGTGTCATTTATTTAACACATATTGATATAGACGGTCTATTGAGGTAAACATACCGATTGATATAGACGGTCTATTGAGGTAAACATACAGATTGATTAAGACGGTCTATTGAGGTAAACATACAGATTGATATAGACGGTCTATTGAGGGAAACATACAGATTAATATAGATGGTGTATTTGGGTTAACATACAGATTGATATAGACGGTCTATTGAGGTAACCGTACAGATTGATATAGACGGTCTATTGAGGGAAGCAAACAGATTGGTATAGACGGTCTATTGAGGTAAACATACAGATTGATATAGACGGTCTATTGAGGTAAACATACATATTGATATAGACGATCTATTGAGGTAAACATACAAA